AGCGGAGATATGGCTTCGCTCGCTGTGCTGTGTGCCCAACAGGGAGATACTGTCCGGCCGGCATAGCGTCGTCGGGCCCTTCCTCTCCGCGAAGGTAAAAGCAGGAAAAACGAAAGAAAAAGAAGTGAAGGGGAGAGGGGGCGGGAGAAGGAGGGGGCGGGCGAGCAGCATCGCTCTCCTCGCGCCTCAAATGGAATTCCAATCCGGAAAAAAAGGCGGCGATGTGAATACAAGAGGACCCCAGTGTCCGGCTGCCGGGCCGAGCCGGCGAGAGGAGTACACGGCCGGGAGAGAGGAGGGAGGGTGAGAGAGAGGAGAGTACACAGTTGGGAGAGAGGGAGAGACCCCCGGCAGGGCAGGGCTTTTCTCCTCCTAGACTCTCCCAGGTTCAACTAACCTCCGCGGCGGAATGCATGCGCGCGCGGCGCGGGCTTTTTAAACTGATTGTTGTTTGCTCGCACGATCACTTTAATGCATGACATGAGTGGGGTGCCCGGCGCCCGGCGGTGGTGGTGGTGGTGCCGCCGCCTCCGATAATTCGATGTGTGTGAAATTGGAACTCGTTTGGCGCTTCCCCTCGGCTCGTCAGCAGCGCGTCGAGTGACGTTCGCGTCACGAGCACCCGGTTATTATGCTAATGCGCTGCACCTGGCGTATGCAGGGCAGGGGTGCGATCAACAACAAGGCGTTGCGGCCAAAGGTTACACGGGGGCGGGTATCATTGCAGCAGGTTCAGCATCTGACTGACACAACACTCTGCGAATTTTTCGACTTCACATCACTGACTTTTCGACGACACAGCTTCGCGCGCCGCGCGCCCAAGATCGTAAAAGGAACCCGAATCTGTGACCCCGCGTGGTATCCATGGCAACAGGAACTAATTAATTATTACATTATAACGGCACTTGATTGTGGATGCAAGCACGCGGCGGGGGTCCTCGCCTCGTCCGGGCGGAGGCTGAGGAGGAGGAGGAGGCATGTTGCCGTCGTCGTGCTTCTGGGTCAAAAGTGCAGCAGCACAGCGAGATCTCGCTGTACATGTGGGTGGATGTTATTTGTAGTCTGCAGCCTCCTGATCCCGGCGGAGGTCCCTGTGTATACAGGTCCTGCGAAGGTCCTGCTCGGAGGTCCCTGCCCCTGCGGGGCCTTCTACTGTAAGTCTCCCGAGGCGGCATAGCAGCTCGGCGCAGCAGCGCGCGCGGGTCCAGCAGGCGCCGCCGCCGTCACGACCTGGCCGGTTGTTAGGCCCCTGGATGCTGCGCTGCCGCATCTCATCTCCCATACGCGCGCCCCATTATGCAGGGGGTGCTGCTCTTCGCTCATTTCCCAGAATGCCGCTCCGCGCATTGTTGGTTGGCCCTTGGCGGTCTGGACTGTTGTTCCAGTTATCCTTGCAAATGTTATGCCGTGCGGCTGGCTGCTTGAAGGACCGTATGTGTGCGCGGGGGCCAAACCGTACGACGACAACGCGAGAGGGGGGCTTCCTCTGCTGCAGCAGCAGAGCGGCTGCAGGAGGAGGCGAGCTGTTCCAGGCATTCGCATACCCCCCCCCCCTCTCCCCCTCCCCGTCTTGCCTTGCAAAGGAGACGCGCGCTGTTCGCCCTTTAATTTCTTGGTCGTGGGATGTATGAAACAGAATGAATGCATTTGAATGACCTCGTGTGCATGTGTGTGTATGTGTCTTCCCCTTTGCGAGGAGCTTTGCGTCGCTGCTTGCAAGAGCTCACAGCACACTTGTTCTCTTTGGCGCACTTCTTGCCGGCAGGGTATCGCTTCTCCTCCGATGTGACTTGACTGACCGGAGGCTCCGGATGGGCTATGGGAGTCTCGAGGACCGGAACCGCAGCCGCCCCCGGGGTCGGGTCGGGGCCTCCCCGCGGCGAGGCACAAGCACGCCTAGCGAATCGGAGCTTTATTCGCGACGCGTCTGTTTGGGGGCCGCGCCCTGTGATGTGCCGCCCCTTTGCGGGCTTTTGTGACGGCATCGCTGACCGGAAGGCGAGGAACTAAAAGAGAGAGAGAGAGAGAGAGAGAGAGAGAGAGAGAGAGAGAAGCGTTTGGGAGAGCGAGCGAAGGAGAGAGACAGAGAGAGAGAGCTGGAAAAGGGGGTGGGCGGGTGGCGGCGGCGGCACGGAGGAGAGGAAGTGCGAGAGATGTTGTATGCGTTACAAGCTCGGCGTTGTCACCCATTGTCCAACCATTGTCCTGCCGGCCGATAGTGTCGGCCGGGCTGTGTCCGCGCCCGCCCCGCCCTGCCGCACCCCGCACCCCGCCCCGCCAGCACCTGTCTGGGGTGAGGTTAGCACCCCTCTACGCGGGTCTTTGTGTGTGCCGTCGGGGGCGTTGGGTGCATGCCGAGGCCCAAACGCCCCCGCCCTCCCGACCCGCACTCATCGGGAGGGTTTCGCATTCCTTCTCCCCCCCCCCTCTCTGGACCGGAGGAGAGAGAGAGAGAGAAGACACGTTTCAGGCGCACATTTGGTGCCCTCCTCCTCACCATATGCAGCGCGGGTGGACGCATCTCCGCCCGCAGGAATGTGTATCTCGTTGCTCTGATTATTTCGACTCTCCCTCCCCCTCTCTTTCTCTCTCTCGCTCTCTCGCCCCCTTGCCGCGTTGATTGGCACTGCTGCCCCACTCAACAAGCGGGCCCGGGGGCCCCTGATCACAGGGCACCGCATTTCCGCCTTCCTGTGCCTGTGCCTCCCCCTCCCGCTCTCATGATCCTCTCTCTCTCCCTCTACTCTACTGAAATGTACTCCGCTAAGACGGTCGAGTAATGAGAGTGAAAGAGAGAGAGAGAGAGAGAGAGAGAGAGAGAGAGAGAGAGAGAGAGAGAGAGAGAGATAGAGAGAGAGAGATGCAGCGTTCCGTTCGGTGCGTCCATTCATACCTCGGCCGGTCCTGTGGTCCATCCATTCATTCGTTCACCCATTTGGGGCCGCGGTGGCGGCGGCGCGGCGGCGGTCCGTTCGAAACGAGGTCCGATTCATGGCTCCTTAGGGTGCCGCGGTCCACCTCCCTTCCCCCTCCCTTCTTCTCCTGAGACGCTGACTCCTCGCATGAGGATTATTCATAAACGCCTTCTCCTTCGCGGCCCCCGCGCCCTCCTGCTCCCGCTCCCGCCGCGTGGGGTAATGCTAGTCATTTTCAAAGTAGTGATGAGTTCACCGCATATGCGCCCCTCTCGTTTGGCTGCGATTATTATCATTTTTTTTTCCGAGAATCGCGATATGTGGTGTGTTAGTGAGTGATGGAGTGTGGGGTTATGGCGGCGCATGACCCGCCCATCGGTAGTAATATTTTTAGCAGGCGTCGCGAAAGTGGTGCTAAATTACGAGCTTTGTTAGCGAGAAACGGGCGCTGCTCGCGCGTATGGAGAATGGGCGGTGCATGCCGCGCCGTTTAGTGTCGAGTGTGTGTGTGTGTGTGCGCGCGCGCGCGTGTCAGAGTGAGTGTGGAGTGTTCTGAACGTTATATGCCACGTGTTCCCGCGCACGTGTGTCACACGGGGCGTAAGTAAGCCCCGCGTGACAACTATGCGTGTGACGTGGCGACGGCCCTCCCTCGTGTACCCTTCGTCACTGCTCGAGCAGGCGTATTACTTTTGGATGAGGGGGAGGGGAGAGTACAGGGGTGCTGCTGCTGCTGGGAAGTGCATTCTGAAAAATGGGTTCCTTTGACTTTAATGGGAAAATTGATTCCATCATACCGAAGAAAATTTCCAATGAAAATCGTCTATGGGCGAACTTGGCAGATCAAAGAAATTTCCTTTGATACTTTTCTATAATAAGATAAATTTTGCAGTGAAATTTCCTTGAAACCATTCTGAGTGAGTGTGCTGTCGGCGGGGCCGGGGTCTTCTGGGACATGTATACTGCGAGGGTCGTCACCGGTCGTCACAGCGTGATAAAATGACCCCCAGTCATTTCCACGCCGCGCCCGCCGCCGTTCTTTCGTTCTTTCGTTCGTTCGTTCGTCGTGAGGTTTCTCTTTCTGCCGCGGCCGTCCTTCGGGACAAAGTAACAAATCCCAAGCAGGAGCGGCGGCGGCGGTCATTGCGGCATAAAAAGTGCCAATTACAACACGTCCGGCCGGGCGAGCGGCGAGCAGGGTCGTAAGGTCGGGACGCAATGCTGCCAGAAAGGAATTAAATACCGTGGGGACCGGCGGAGAGTGCAGCGGGCGCGGCCCTGTGCCATGCAGCAGCAGCAGGTGCGGCGGTGAGTGCCGTCGAGTGTGTGGCGGGAGCGACGACACGCAGAGTGTGTCATTCTCCTCCGCTTCACACGCCGTGGGGGTGGATCATAGGTGACCTCAGGTCAGGGCTGGCGTTGGCAGTGATAGGTGACTTCACTGCGCCGCGTTCTCAATGGAGGGAAGGCGTATATCGGGGGTGTTTCCTCCTGGATGACTGGTGCCAGCTGGTACCAGCGGGTACCAGCGACAAGCGAGTATGATGAATTTTTGGGGGTCTAGAGCGCCAACGCAGAAGCACTACTACTTTTCGTTTGCGGCATGGGAGCGGGGGCTGTACTCACAGACCAGCAGGCGTTTGGTCCTAACGTTAGTTTTCTTCTTGTGAGCGCGCGGGAAGTTTAAATAGCTGTGCACGTCTCACAAGCAGCGGGTACCAGCGGGTACAGTACCACCGGTGAGAGATGGTATTTTCGAGAGGCGGGCCTGGCCGGGCCGGGCAGCAGTGGCGGCCGGCAGCTCCGCGCGCCGTGTCGCGGGACCCTCCTCTGTATGGCGCGGGGGGCGGGGCTGCGGGGCATCTCTACCTCTTCATTAAGCTTTTTTCCCGCTTCCTGTTTTTGCCTCGTATGGAGCCATTACAGCAGCAGAAATGTTTGCAATGAGTTAAAATACGTGCTTTGGTTGGGGAAAAAACAAAATAATTCAGAGAAGTGAAGTGAGCAAAGATTACTTCTAAAAAAAAATAATGAGTAAATTATTGGTAATAAAATTGACTAAATGTTTGTTGTCTCTTGTTCCAGGCTGAAGCCATGCTGAAGCACGTCCACCTGTCCCCCGGGCGGGGCCGGGACCGGGACAGGTCCGGCGGCGACAACGTGTCGCTGCGCTCGCTCAGCTCGTGCTGCTCGCTGTCCCCCGACCTGTCCCAGCCGCTGTTCTCGCACTCGCGCTGCTCGTCCTTTTCCTCGCTGTCCGAGACGCCGTCCTCGTCCTCGTCGTCGTCGTCATCGTCGTCCTCGTCGTCGTCCGGGTCCATCGTCCAGGAAATGCCGGTGAGTGTGCACCTCCTCCGGGAGGGCTCCCTGACCCTTTCCCTCCTTGCCTCCGTCGACCTCTTGGCACAGAAACGGCAGCTGTGCGACGTGACGGGCGACTCCTCTTGTGTCTGACTGTTTTCTGACGCGGGGCACGGAGGAGGGACTCCAGCGGACGCCAGCGGGCCAGCAGCTTCGCGCGCAAAAAAGGAAACGCTACTTTTGGTCCTTTGCGGCTGGAGCGGGTGGCGGTGGCGGCGGCGGCGGCCACCGGCCATGACCTGCTCAGTACACCGGAAAATAAGCTTTTTCACCCCTTTCCCTTTAAATTTTCGCGGTCAAATCGATTTCCGGGCGTAATTGCGCGGCATCAAAGAAACGCACGCTAAAATAATGTTTACGATCAGAACGCCCCTCTCAAAGCAAGTGAGTTTTGAGGAGTGTTGCCACGCGGTACCGCACTGCCGCCGCAGCCGTGCGGAATGCTTTGAGCCCTGCCCCACCCCGCCTCACTCCGCCCCACCCCGCCTCACCCCGGCGCATCCTCGCGTAACCCGTGTGGTTTCATTTTGCCCTTCCTGAACCGAAACAAGGGGGGGGGGGCTCCCTGTGCACGCCGAATGGAGAGAGAGAGAGCTGGACGCGCGGGGCAGAGGTGTGATGAGAGGAAGATGGGTCCGCCCACAACACCATTAGAAAAGAGGCGGATAAAAAAAGGAGCGTAATGCTGCATTCCTCGGTGCGGATGGGTCCCACAGGGGCATGCCGGCCTGCTGGCTGGCCTGCTGCTCCTGCTGCTGCTCCTGCAGACCGGCCAGCGGCCAACAGGCAGGCTAACCTCCCAATCAATTCGGCTGTGAGCAAAAACCGCAGCTGCAAGTGCATCGAAAGAACATCACGAGGGGAGGCAAGGGAGTTGAAGCGAGCGAGCAATACCCGACAGTACCCCCCCCTCCCTTCTATCTCTCTCGCTCCTTCTTGCCCTCCTTCCCCTCTCCATAGGCCCTTATTTTTCCGAACGCGCACGTTGTTCACTTCTCGTCAGCGTCAGGACAATGCCGACGCTACGCTGCCGTTGAGTGATCAGGCGGATCAGGCTTGTCCCGTCGCAGACCATATGCGCAGGAAACTGCATGTGCGTGTGTGCAATGGAACGGTTGGCATAAACGAACATTTTAGTTTACCTAACTCACTTTGTCAATATAAAATATCGTTTTTCGAGCTTTGGTTCACCTTCCTTCATATTTAAATGTACAAGCTCTATGCTCTGCGAACATATTAAACCCGTTGACGACGCCAGTTTGTCTGCTGGCTAGAGTGGACCTGAACGAGTTACCGCATCGCATTACGGCACTTCTCTCTCACTCTCTTGTACGTGTTGTGCTGTATGATGGGAGTGTAGGTGGTGGCGCGGCTCTTCGCTCTGCGTACGGGGCGAGGCGGGGCGAGGCGGGGCGAGGCGGGGCG